TTATTTTATGTTTATGTGTCTACCATTATTCTCCAATATTTCCATTATTTGTTTATTAATTTGAACACCACCCATCTATCTCGCAATTTGAGGCAACTCTCAGTGGGTTTTTATTTATTGAGTTTATACTTGCCGTCTCACATTTCAAGGCAATCAAATATACCTGTGTGGAATTAATCTCATCTTAAATTCATCAAAGTATATCTACCACTCCTTAAGACTTGTTCAAATAGGGCTTTCCAATTCAAAAGTTCACGGAAATGACGAATATTCACCTTTGCAACACTCTTAAGGTATCTGTAAAAAATACTGTGGATTTGGAATAATCCCAGATACTTATCACTGCTAATACAGGAGCTATTATCTTGCAGAGCTAATTCAGAAGTTGCACTGTGCTCAGAAGTTTTGACTAAATTATTGCCAATTCAAAGTTTTGGACAAGGCAAATTCCTCAGACGATGAAAACTTGAATTTCAATAAGCTGATCTGAAGTATCAATGTTCTTATTAGTTTGTGAAGGGATTTAATTGCAATTTTTGAATTGGAATTATTCTACAGGAATAATATAATGCAGCTTAATTCATAAAGGTCAGAATTTAAGAATGATTTACATCTAATAATGCTGGAATTACAAATGAATTTTGACTGAAAAAGAAACCAAACTCCTGCCAAAATTCCAAAGGCTCATATTATAGATTTTCACTTGGACCCATAAAGGTTGTTGAATTGGATCACTGGATTCCATAAATAAATAAAAATAAAAATACATGCCTGCCGATAAAACCTAACACCAGGAACGTTAAAACGCCTATCATCGTATGAAATCTATAGTTTAGATAAAATCTGGAGGTTTTGTCCTTGCTGTAAAAATATAATAATTGATCATGTCCCAGAATAGTTCTGTGCTCCAGCCAAAGCTGACTGAAGATGTAAGTATTGATTGAAGATGTAAGTATTGATTCTGTTCCCTTCAGACTAATTTTAACCGAAGCTATTTTTTTTCCCCATGCGTAAAACTACCTATCTCTCTCTGACAAAGTAACCACTTTTCTGGGATCCCCAAAGCAGTTTCCCTACTGCTCTTCCAATAAGAGCAATTGTGTCATACTTTCTGCTGAGTGGTCACCGAAGTGGAGGATATCAAATATATTCATAAGTTTCAATATGTCTCAATATTGTAGACGCTCGGTTTGATAATAAACTACCATCGCTGCAGTAGCCCAAGACATTGTGGCTTGAGACAGGGGTGCGCATACCGGCAAAACATGAGTCTTGTTGCCTGTGGGGCTCCTGAGCCAGACCACAAATGTGAGTTAGTGTACGATCAAGCAGCCAGATGGATGTTTAGAGAGGTCATCTTATTTACATATTTGGGATTATTTGCATGCCATTTCTTTTCATCTGGGCATAACAAATACAAGTTGACTTACAACAGTTCATTTAGTGGCCATTCAAAGTTATGAGGGCAGGGAAAAAAGTGACATATGACCATTTTTCACACTTATGACCTTTGTAGCTTTGCCATGATCATGTGATAGAAATTCAGATGCTTGACAACTGGTTCATACTTATGACTGTTTATTTAGAAAATTAATATAATTGCCCATTCGCAGCAATTTTAAGTGTTAAAATAGCTATAAGATCAAGTCAACTGTGCCCTCATAACTCAAATTCCCACTCCAAAAACAGTTAATTAAGACTCTATCCTTCCTTCCCTATTCCTTTAACTTCTGCCCTTCGCTAAACATGATTTTCACCCTCTTCTGCTAACCCTCAGATTAAATGTTTACCCTTCTTTATACTGAGATCCAGCTATTATAGCTTTGACCCAAATAAGCCGCCATTGCTCCCTCTGAAATATTGAGGATTTGGAAATAAATTACTAAACTGTGTAGGTGCTTTTCTTTACTAAAAGATCTCAATATAAGTGGGTTTCAAATTAATGGCGTTCAAACTGCACAGATCAAAGCAGTGGTGAGATTCATTTTTTTTTACTACCGGTTCTGTGGGCATGGCTTGGAGGGCGTGGCAGGGGGAGAATGCTGTAAAATCTCCAGTCAGAGGTGGTATTTGCTGGTTCTCAGAACTACTCAAAATTTCCACTACTGGGTCTCCAGAACTGGTCAGAACCTGCTGAATACCACCTCTGGGTCAAAGGTATCCACATATTTAAGTATCCTTCCCAGTCCTATACTTCCTGGACACACCAAATTCAGGCAACTTGTCCAAAGAAAATTAGAAGACAGGGCTTTTTCTGCAGTGGCCCCTGCTCTGTGGATGATCCTCCCATCAGAATGTAGAAACGCACCCAATCCTGCTGGTTTATTGCAAGACTTTAAAAAGTTGATTGTGGACCCAGGCCTGGGGCCCAGAGGGTGGTAAGGGCCCCACTTTTTGGCTTTACTGATGGTTGATTAACTATCATGGCCACTGTATTGATTTATATTTTGTATGTTTTTAACAGTTTCAGCTGTTCTATAATTCTAGAATCATAAGATGCCCAGGCAGAGGGCAGCTATAGAAATCGAATGAATGAACGAACAAGACCAGTGTTTAGAAAAGCAGGCCAACCTTTTGTATTTTACTTAGAAATGTAAGTGCCAGTATAAACATCCAGGCCTCGTCCTAAGAAGGCAGGTGGTGGATTGAAACCTTAACCATAATATATCTGTGGAGATTCTCAGTCCTCCAGGTCATGATTGTCCTAAAGTTGTCCCATGTTTTCAAGAGGCAACTGGACTTTCTGTTTTTTTTCTTTGAAGAAGTTTCGCTTCTCATCCATGAAGCGAGCTGAAGAGCTGAAGACATTTGAACAGAACCAACCAACCAAAGCTGTAGAAGCTTCTTGGATGAGAAGCGAAATGTCTTCAAACAAAAACCAGAAAGTCCAGTTGCCTCTTGAAAAAAGCACCTTTGGGACTTAACCACAGTAGCTCCCAATTCAATTCCAAGACTAGGATATCTCTTTGATAGGGATATATATTTCTCAAGCACACCATACTTTATGCATGCATGCCTGCAGTTGATCTAACCCTCTCAATGCTTGTAGACTCCAGGTGGCATATAGCCTCAATAGGAACACAGTTATTGGGATGGTGATTTGCACCCTGATTTCAAAGGAGGTTGAAACTCTGGGAGTAACATTTTTGGATGCATCGTTTTTAATCAGACCTGTTTGGGCTCCAAAGCTGAGCAAGGCCGACTCGCTTCTTACGAGAAAGACTAACTGGAAATTCTAAGCTGCAAGCTAAACCAGTAAATTGGAAAAAGGAGGGGGAAGAGGACAGTGGCAATCTATTTTTATTACAGTGCCAAGAAACAAAAACAAGGTAGTCCTCAATTTGCAAGAGTTCCCTTAGTGACCATTCAAAGTTACAACAACACCGAAAAAAATGACTGATGACCGTTTTTCACACTTACGCCCATTGCAGCACCCCCATGGTCATGTGGATTTACATTTGAATACTTGACAACTGACTCACATTTATGACAGTGTCCCAGGGTCATGACCTTCTGACCAGCAAAGTCAATGGGGAAGCCAGATTCACTTAACAACTGGGTGACTAATTTAACACCTACAGTGATTCACTTAACAAATGTGGCGAGAAAAGTCCTAAAGTGGGGCAAACAAAGGCCTCACTTAGCAACATAAATTTTGGGCTCAGTTGTGGTCATAAGTTGAGGACTACCTGGATAGTTGAGTGACCCTTGAGGGTAGCTTGACCTTAAATGGATAGCAACTTTTGGTTGTGTGTGTGTGTGTATGTGTGTTACTGATTTAAATACATTTTGAAGTGTAAGGCGAAACTAGTATAGAGTATAATGCAACATATTTATACCTTGCCTTTCAGTGCTGGTTCACAAAACAGCTCAAAAACATCAATGTTATAAGAACCTAAATGATTAAGAATTTGCTTCCTGGACAAACATTTACCATTTGTGATCCCAATGCATTTTCACAGTGCGTTTTTTTTTTTTTAAAT